TCTTTTCCTTAAATCTCGTGATCTTTCTAGATATAGTGTAGTCTTGTTTATATAAGACCGGCCACGATACGACGTAGAGGTAACGAGTAACTGAATGTATGCGGATAGAATATTGTTGGCCACGTGAGACGTGAGTTATAGCGTTGTTATAGAGCGACTGTTGAAATTAAGTGTATCGTAAAGTTGTATTCGGAAAGAATAAACCAGTTTTATTTAATAAAGGACTTGTGTCGCTAAAGTTTCGTCGGAACGAATTTACGGAAAATTAACGAACTAACGGAGACGTAACAGTATATATAATATTGCAGTCCAATAGTCCTAGCCACCAACGTGAAATATAGGTATTATGACCCCTTAATTTCAACCCCGAGTAGTGGAATCTCGGCTATCTGGTTGGGGCTGGCCTATGCTGACGATTACTCGTATTCTATTCAACCTTTGTTATAAGAACTGAGTTCCTAGTGAAGAGCATGCTTGTTCTGGATGTAGTGCAGTTCCACCACTCTTGTATCATTTTTATCTTGGTACACTCCTGTTCTATACAGACACTTTCTGTATGGTTTATGCCTGCACCGGCCCCCTCCACCTTCTCGATGTGGGATTCTAGCTATAGTGTTGTCTGTGGTAAGTATGTTTTGGAAGTTAACATTTTCCTAAACTAAAACTGTACTTCCAATAATACTTACCTTCACTGACACTCTCCCGCCCTCACTCCGTCCTAAATTCCGGTTTATGTCTTGAAAAAGTGATTACATTATCTGAATGAGGTACTTATATACAGCACCATGATAGAGGGAGCATTGAAGTAGGTGGAGAAAGATGCAAATTAGTATTTGCTTAGGGCATTCGAGTGGGGTATAAAAAACTGGAGCAAGTGTTTTCAATGCTTAGATGGGCAAAGAATGGAAACCCCGGAGATCGAGAAATAGCTATAGTGTCAGCGGAGACAAGTACTATTGGAAATACACTTTCAGTTTAAGAAAATGTTAACTTTTATGTTTTGCTCAGAATTGAGGAAATGGGATTTCTAGTTTTAAACGTCTCTTTTTAATTATGTATTCAACGACTTTCCATCAGAAAAGAAAAGCTATGGTTTCAATACATCACAGGAGTAAGATGGTGCACACCAAAATGTTACTGTTTGTTGTTCCAAGTGAGGCCTGATATATTTTCACACGTTGCCTAGTGGTGAAGTCTAACGTGACATTGGATGTTACTTTTTGTTGTTCCGAGTGAGGCCTGATATATTTTTACATGTTGCCTAGTGCTCAAGTCTAATGTGACATTGAATGCTACTGTTTGTTGTTCCAAGTGAGGCCTGATATATTTTCACATGGTGCCTAGTGCTAGAGTTTAATGTGACAAAACCTCCCCTAGACGTGTTGATTAGTTCATGTTTCTAATATGCTGCTATATGCATTTCAGAATTACTTAGCAGATCTTTCTCGAACTTTGCACATATTTATGAATAACGTCTGAAGACGAGCCTTTTTAGAGTTCATTCAGCATTGAAATGAATTAAAGGAACTCATATTTCAGGACCAAGCCAACAATCGCAGCTCAGTCACCAGAGAGCACGGATTGCATTATTTCACTAGTTAGGAACCCTCTCTGTTTATGGTAGTTTAAGCATAATGTAAACCCACCAAAATTTACTCGGGAATTCATCTAATTTAACGAACTTTTTAAATTCAAAATATATTACGTATTGTATCGTAGAGAAACGTCGATGTTTTTCACCACTGGTCATGTAATGTGAACATTAAACAACTTGACATATTACATGCTGATCAGAACATTAATACACATAACAGTGAACCTTGTGGTCAGTATTGTGTCTGATCTAGGCTTAAGGACAAACAGTGAATATAACAACCACGTAACATCTTGTAACTCAAAGAACGGCCTTTTAATAACAATTTTAGTTGGTTATATCAATAACGAGTTAAAGTAATATTTTTATAGTCTAAAAATATTTCGTTCTTTCCAGGTATCATTGGAGATTGGAAGAATTATTTCACAGACGATCAAAACCAAGAGTTCGAGACAGTATACAAGGAGAAAATGGCAGGGTCTGGGTTGGACTTTGTGTTTGAGCCAGAAGAAGCCTTCAAACGAATGAAAACCTATGGTCGAATTATCCTTCCGTGTCAAATACATACCAATAAAGAAAACGGTAATCTTCCAAAGGGTTTTGGTGAAGATAAAAAGTTAACAAATGAACAGAAAACCGGGCCTTCGACCACTGATGTTAGCATGTCACCTGATGTCGTATTATGTACGGACGAAACGGACTCTTCTAATACCCACGTTGATAGTCCAAATAAAGAGGCCGAAAGAACAACAAATAAATGTCCAGGCTCTGAAATTGTAATCGATCAAAAGTTCGACGACTTTAACGGTGAAAAGATGAAATCAAAATCTGAAGCTGACAAGACCATAAAAAAAGCCCAAAAGTATGAATTAAAGAAAGGTGTGAAGTCTTGTCTATACAGTGGAGTTAAAGAAAGGAGCTTCGCAGAAAATGATAAAGGTGTGATCTACGGAAATCAACGGAGAAATCTCAGTGACTCCAAAAGATCGTTGGAGTCGACACTAAGGTCCAGAAACTCAATGAGCGGTTCAGCACCCTTAGATCCGTATATTACTCCTGACCCTCTCACCTTAGACCTTGTTATTTAGGGCAGAGGACAGCCATGCAGTTGATACGTGTTTAGAAAAAGCGTTGAGACAGGTACAGCCACATTACATGCGCATTATGTTGCATAGTGCCTTCACATTCCCGTGCTTCTGCTTGAACTATTTATCACAAAACTCGTATCGAAATATCTATTCCTTAAGGACAAGTTTGAGGAATGGTATATGTCTGTAAATATAATAAACTAAATGTTAGTCGAAAAATTACGGTTAGTTAGTGTTACTAAACGTATCGACGGCATCATCTCACTGATCGATTAAACTGGCTTTAAAATAAAACATTCATAAGCACTGAGGTGTTTAAAATTAGTGTATTACGCTGATCTTTTTGTTGCTTTTTATGTGTATTCGTTAAAATACGAAGTTGGTTTTCTAATAATGAAAACACTGTATTAAAATTATTTTGTAATTGTTATTTTTGGTTTGTTAGTGGTAAATATCTTATTAATGTAGAAAAGATTCAATCGCACTTTTGTAGACTACTCGTTAAAATTCTTAAGCCTAAAGCTGTGTAGATTAAATAAAATGGCGCTTGAAACAATATAACAAATTAAGTTAAATTTCGCAAAGTAACGTGTGTTAATTATATATGTGTGTGTGTAGATCTCATTAGAGTTGCTCTTAATCACAGGCTAGTAAAGCACGCTTCTCTGTCCCTGTAAAATGTTTTATAATGTTTGGGAAAATCTGTAAAGAAGATTTATTGTTATATATTAAGAGTTGTGGATGTTGAAAACCATTAAATATATTGACTTGTTGCAGTTGTTAAAATTTTACTTCTGCGGAACTTGAAACAATAAATATTGCTGTTTTGGCCTTGTCATAATTTTTTTTGGGGGGTGTGTTATTTCAAAATAATTGGTACATAGAATAATATATAAGTACGTAAATTAAGCTTAAACAATAGAGGGGGCTGCTATGATCTGGCTCGTATGAACACAGTGAGTGTGTGCGTTGTAAGTACCTAAGTTAAGCTTGAACAATATGTGCTGTCTCGTTTGATAGAAGTTAGAATATTGTTACAACTCGAGATAAAATGTTAGGGACAAGCATCAATACAAGCACGTGACTGGATAAAAAAAAAGCGTAAACGACAAAGAATCTAGGCGAACAATTTAAATAATGGGCATACCTAATCATTGTATTTATATGGTGACATAATATATACCTATTGCAAAAAACAATGCACTAGTGTGTTTAAAAACTTAACAAAATATAAAAACACAATTAGTTTCGACAAGTCAAGCTTGTCTGTGGCTAAAGTGTGTTGTTCGTTCACGTTCAAACCGATCCAAATGGGCCAACGTCAACTCTAAACAGGATTGAGTTCAGATCAGGGCCGGATTAAGGCCCCTATGATGTCCCCTTCCAAGGATGACTCAAAATTCAGACCCCCCATGTAATTGAATCGGTTGAACCCCTTCTATATCTGGAACTGATTCGGATCCAATTTTATTATGGAACATTAGTGTGGTCCTTATTTTGAAGTTTTGGCTTACGATACTCGTATCCTCATTTTGTTCCAATACGTAAGTAATTCGCAACAAATTTTATCTGTGTTAAGTAACTTGTTGCTCGCATTATATCTGCGTATTCTAGGATGTTCCAAAGTATTCTAAAGTTGATTTGTAGCACTGGAGAGGCGCAAGTTTCAACTGTTGCACATTGCTGGAAGAGTGTGAAGTCATCAATCATTTAAAGACAGTTTGGTTCAATACAACAGCTAGCAGCACGGGTCGTAGAAATGGAGCGTGTGTGCTGTTAGAACAAAGAAGATTAAACAAGCATCTTCTGTATTTGGCAAGTTAGCATCATATCTTAGAACTTGTCGTGGCATGTGTTTTCAAAGTCTGTATGGGGCTTTCTTGTGGTCTACATATGCAATTTTCAATTGATTCCAGCTGCAGCTGACCATGGTGAAGTAACAGAGCCATAGAAGAAATTAAGGACAGCGTTATTGAGTTTGCTACAAAACGGCTTCAGATCAGCCCACCTGGAGATGATTATTGAGAGCTTCTCGAACTAGTCATAACCTTTCTTGGTGGCATCCCTCCTTATAGAGTTCAATTTATAACACCTAGAGCACTGCATCATGTACAATGGATGGTCAAGGCATTCATTGGACATACAAGACTGGTCAGTTTAAGAGTTATTATTTATGTAATGATTATTTAGTTTTTGTAACAAGAATGTTAAAAGTTAATTATTTTTAAAGTGACAGTTGTGACAAGTTTCGTTATGTAACTGTGTACCAGTCGAACGTTGTGTATGCAATTTAACTGTTTTACTAGGCTGTTGTAATATTGTTGACGTCATCTTGACTCGAAGCTTCTAAGTTTTTCTTATTATGTGTAATATTGTTGTTACTATATTTTCTGTGAAGATGCAGAGAGGAAGTAAGTTTGTGAAAGAAAAGTGAAGTTAGACTGCGTGTGAGTTTAGCTATAACGGGCGATTTATAAAGAACGAGATAAAGAAGAAGAATGTTCTAAAGTAACTGAACCAGCCTGTGTGGACTTTAACGAAAAAGAGACAATTATTTAAAGCTCTGAATACAACTGTGATAACCAATAGTGTAACGAATTTTTGTATATACGTTTGACTTGTTTTTAATGTATCATTTTAAAACAAGTGGATTGTGTACTCTCCGTTTATTGTTGAAATTTATCATCAATAAGTCGCAGACATTTACTGTAAAAAATCGCGACCTTATACAAAACCCGAGAGCATTATATGCCCTCAAAATCTGGATGTTTATGGTACTGTTTAAGCTTAATAACCGTAAGAAAAGAGAGCTCCGTGACATCTTTGAGTCTATCTTCGGGAATGGCTCATTGTTCCTGATGCCATTTCTGCCTCTCGCTATATCTTAATTTCCTACAATGTCTTATTAAGCGTAAAAATGTGAATTCTGTTCTTTCAAAATCTGCCTGTCAAAACTTTGCTGGACATCTATAGTATGACAATGAGGAACTCGTTGGTTTGGCACTCTTTCATTAAGCTGTATCTACAGAGACAAAATGATCAACAGTAAAGGTTCTAAATGGGAAGGAAGGCATAGATGAACCTCCAAGATACATGTAGTTGAATATCAGAAAATCCGAGGACATTTTAATTGAAGACTTTGCCACAAAGACTACAACAGACTTCTTCAAGTGCCTCGAAATTCTACATGGATTATGACCCCGAATCATGGCAGCTTAGAGAGGACTACAAGGAGACTCTACAGACAGTTCAACACTTAAATGTTGTAAGGGATATGACCCTTATTGACGAGCAGAACCTCATCATAACAAAGAAAAAACAAGTTCTGCTGGATCATAGAAGACGCTTTGCTAACAGCAAAGAGGAAACAATAATATTGCAAAAGTGGCTAACCACACAATATCGTATAAATAAACATCATGTAATTATACCATTGTATGTGTAATAAGATAATAATAGGCTTTAAATAGATTATTTATAATACATAACAAATATGCTTTTATACCACATGATACCGGGCCAGTGCATTCTAGATCATGAAACTCATTGAACAACCTTTAAACGTGGTCCAAAATGGATGAAGTTTGATATTTAATGTGTTTTTTGTACATTGGAACAAAATTATGGGGTGACAGACGAAGAACTTGTAACATGAAATTTTACACGCAAATAATGACCATCCAGTTGAACTTTTTTTCTCTATTTTTAAATATGTCCATTCTCTTCTGTTGCGTTGATGGAATAATACTGGTTCAACAATGATGTTGGATTGGTCGAAATTAATTTTGTAGTTAGTTGTGTGAATACTTAGTACTAAAGCCGTGTGGTTGGTTGTGTGAATACGTAGTACTAAAGCCGATATTTCAACTTCATTCTGATGACAGCATTCTTCATGTTCCTTTAAATGAAATAAATAGTTTTGTTTGACCAAACACGATTACAAGAAATAGAATAACTGTTTCCAATGGACTTTTTTTTCTTTCCCCTTACTAAATTTATATGGTTGACGCGTTAACCTATTTCCTAATGATAACGAACAGTTTTATGAAATATTAAACTCAATTCATTTGTTCACAATATTTGAGTTGCGCGCTACCCAGATGGCAAGTAATGCGCAGAAGGCTATTGAAAACCAGAAAGGTAATTACAACGTTACTTGCTCTGGTAATCATGCACATTTGGATAAAACAAAACGAAATTTTGAGAGTAGAGAAACATGGAGGTTAGGGTCGGCAGAAATCGGCTTTAGAATTACACGTTCGCACAACCGAACACAAAATTCATTTCAATATATCAAAATGATTGTTTTAACAAAACATCGATAGGAATATATAAATGCCCAATAATTAAATGGAATCTGAACTCAACTAAAACTTGTATGTAGTGAAAGACAAACTTTATGTAAATGGTAATGATGAGAAGCTAACTATCCTGGTATAATCATTAACTTAATAATGAGCAAGTTTTATGGGCGTGTAGAATTGTTTAAGTATTCCAAAGCAAAAGGGCCTTAGTTAGATGTTCGTTAATTATCGTGCATGATATTCATTAATAAAAAAGAAGGAATCAACCAAACATTTTGGCAAGGAACCAAGACTGTTGTGAATTATATAAGTGACATTGGAAACTTGTAATAGAGTTTACCGGAAATTACGTTTTACAATACAAATGACTCCGTAAGGAATAGATTGTGCTAGAGTAGAATTATTCAACTTTGTACTACTCTGAACGAAATATCTACACTAACATTTGTAAAAACAAAAAGTGTCAATGTCATTATAGTAACCTAGGCCAAGATTCATAGGATTTTTTTTTAACATTACGTTCTCCATTGAAATTATTTTACTAAAGTCAACAACAGACTTTTCGTTTCACTGAATGAGTTTGTACTTTAAATCTTGCGTATAGCTTCTCTTTTCTCCGTATATGTAATCCCAGTACACGTACATCCTGTTCATTCAAACATCAATGACCCGACAGACGTCTTTTCCTGTTTATGTTCTTTTCATCACGTTATTTCGGTAAT